TGGGGCAGCGATATCACAGGGCCAAGCCTGACAGTCCGGGAGGGAGGCCCAGGCATGGCTCACAGACAGTGGGAGGAGGGGGTCTGGGACGGTGGCTGGACTGTCCTGGGACTTCTCATAGTTGAGCCTCCAGAAAGCTTGTGTACCTTGACACGTATTTGGGAGGGCACTGTAGGCTCTGAGCCTCTGAGGCTGCTTTGGATGACCGAACACATTCAGAGGTCAACTCAGAGGCCAGAGAGGCTCAGTGACCTGCCCGACAAAAGGGAGCCTGGAGTGTGCAGCACAGGGGCCTGTCTGTGGTGGCTGGGAATAATAGGGGGTGGGGCTGCCGCACGCTTGCGTGTGTGTGTGTGTGTGTGTGTGTGTGTGTGTGTGTGTGTGTAAGTCCCAAGGGACAGGTCCACCTCTGGGGATGGCTAAAGGGGCCCCTGCCAGGCAGACCAAAGCCAGATGCCGTGAAACGCCGCTACCATGAGAACAGCAAGGGAATGTCTGGGGGTGCCTGGGAGAGGAAGGGAGCTCTTGTGTGGATGGGTGCTTGCTGAGACAAGGTCTCCCCAGTGCCTCTGTTCCCCTCTTGCTCACAGGGATTTCTATCCCCAAAGGCAGGCCCAGACCTCTGGGGATGGGAGGCCTCCTGCACTAAGTGCCCTGGGGTGGAGGCTTTTATCAGGGGCACTTCCCGCCCACCCCACCCCTACCCTGCCCCCCACCCCCGAAAAGTCTGCAGGCGCAAACTGCTCTCCACATGCATTCTGTAAGTTTGGGTTCCTTTAGACGTCAGGAGGGACCTTTACACAATGTCCTGTGATTTTCTAAGGCACCCAGTGCCACGCCAGCTTGCGGAGGTGAGAGCAGGGGGCGCCTATCTGTCAAGGGCAGGGCTGCCCCAAGAGACCCTCCTCCAAAGGCCCCAAGGATTGGTGACCCTATATTCTGTCCTTCAGCCTGGAACAACTTTGAGAGCGGAAGGGCAGCGTTGCTAGTAATCACGCCGGTCGGCGGGCATAACCGGGGCTGTCCTGGCCAAACCAGGCTGCATGGGCACTCTGTGGAGTGGACGGCACGGCATCAGCAGGGAAGGCGCAAGCAGGTGGGGATCCCCTCATGAGGGCCAGTGACGTGTCTTGTGTCCATACACAGCTCCTTGGGTGCCCCGGAAGGAGCCAGTACCTCCCTTCCTGGCCTTGCTGACTGGCATCTTGGGGTCAGACAGGTGACAGACAGACTGTGGCTGTGGCTTGTGCTTCTACTGTTTTGAGTGCGGACGAGTGGGTGAGGGGCACCCTGGGTCTGTTCGGCAATCCCTGGGTTGTGGCCCTACTAGGTGCCTTCATTTCCCCAGGCTATGGTCCTGGCTGGCACACAGTGCTCTTGCTCAATCCCTCCACCTCTGGTGCTCATCACACCTGGCCTGGGGACCAAGGCCTGGGAGGAGGGAGACACCACTGCCCCTGGCGGCCCCCTTCTCTGCCTCCTTCTGGCTCCTTCAAAGTGGGTGCTCCCCGAAGCTCTAACCCCAGCCCCGCTCTTCTCTTTGTCCCTCCACCCTCTTTCTGGGAGGCTGTACTCCACGCTCCTTCTTGGTCCCCTTTACCTAAGTCCCCAACATCCCCCCGCCGCCGACCATATATTGGCACTTCCATACCAAGATATGCCAGCCCCTTGGATTCCACATTCCTCCCCAAAGTTGCTGCTCAGAATTGTCCCTGGTCCTTCAAAGGAACCTCCCTTCTCCCAGGCCTGGGCCCAGTGCTGGGTGGTGTCAGGACCTCCTGGCCCATTCTCCCTTCTGCACAGCCCTTAAGCCACTCCTGCCCGCACTGAAGGCCGCGCCCTCCAAGCCGCACCATGGCAGAGGCAGATCGGAATATTCTGTTTCCCTGCTTGGCCTCCGTCCTGCTTGCTCACTATTGCCAGATTCCACTCAACTCGGCTCCACCAGCAGCCCTGGGCTCTGCTCTGGGGCTCAGGAGGCTGGGCACAGCCCAGACTGGTAGGAAGGAAGGAGACAAGGACACGCCGGGGGCCCCACGCCAAGTGTGAGGAGCAGCAGAGATGGAGGGATTGAAAAAGAGCCAAAGGCCATGGAAATTTAGGGATGACTTCCTGGAAGAGGAGCACGCGCTCTAAACCTCAACAAAACAAAAACAAAAACCGAAAACAGTAGCCCTTTGCAGTGTTGACTGTAACAGTGAAAAATATGAAAAATCAAATGTTCAGCACAAGACTGCATCAACACGCAGTGGAATACTCTCAAATGGAATGCCCTACTGCTGCTACGATGAACTAGCACGGGTGGGTCTCAGCGACGTACCAGTGCGTGGAAAAGACAAACTGAAGAATGATGTGCACGGCATCATGCCATTTATATAAATCCTAAAGGCACACAAGACAATACTATACATTACTATGGATACAGATGTTTGTGGTAAGCGTATAAACATATGGATGGGAGTGACAGGCTCCAGATTTAGCTCTGGGGAGGGAGGGAGAAAAGGAGGGAGGGACAGCAGGAGGAAACTTACTTTTGGCTGTGTTCTATTTCTTTGAAGAGAGAAACAGAGAAAGGGATCTGAGGTGAATATGGCAAAATGTTAACATCTGTTCGGTATGGGTGATTATTGGTCCAGGACACTCAGTGTACATTCTCTCCTTATCTGTGCATCATTCTGTAACTTGAAATTTTAAAAGAAGTTAAAAGAACATAATGGGAGGTGGCATTCTGTACACAGCTTGATCATTCCCTATGGGGGGGTTGGGCAGTGTGAAGCGAGGGGCGGGGGGGAATGAGGGCACCCGGGACGGGGTACGGCTGGGCAGGGACAGGGCAGGGGTTGGTTGGTGGGAGAAAGGAGCCTGGGTGGGGAGCTTGGCGGGGAAGATACTAAATCTGGGGCAAGTCTCTAAAGGGGGGGCCACACTGACTTTCTCCTGCCTGCCTACTTGCCCCCACCAAGTATGGTGCTTAGTGTCCATGCCTCCCTGTACCCCCACAATACCTCTGGCTGGCTGATTTTCAAGTCAGTGATTTATTCAGTGAGCAGCTACAACAAAAGCGAAAGCTCACAGGGCGCTCATGACAAGCAATGGTTAGATTTACACCTAAGAGCTCACTGAACTCTCATGACGGCCCCACAGACGGGCACTGCTACCATCACCACCACTCCGATTTTCTAGATGAGGACACAGAGGCACAGAGCCATTCAGGAACTTGCCTGAAGTTCCAGAGCCCATCAGGGACGGAGCTGGGATGTGACCCCAGCCAGAGCCTGCGGTCCTTGTTGCTGTGCCACGTTATTTCTCACATGCCGGGCACTGCACTGGGCACTGTGCATTTGGTAACGACACGGCCCTGCCCTTGAAGCGCGTCAGGCCGGTGCGGGGAAGTCAGACACCAACCAAGCAGCATGCAGATGTCATTACCGCTAAGGAGACAGGAAATGAAGAGAACCTTGTGCCCCAAGGGAGAGAATACAGAGAAGGACACACTGAGGCTGAGGCACCTGGGAAGACCTCTCTGAAGAGGGGACATTTAAACGGAGACCTAAAGTTAGCCAGGAGGGGGTGGGGAGGGCAGGCGAGAGAGAGGGAAGAGCAAGTGCAAGGGCAGGAGCTCGGCTGGGGCAAGGAACTGGAAGAGGGTCAGAGGAGCCAAAGGATGCAGTGAGCAAGGGGCAGGGCAGCCAAGCCGCGAGGCCATCACTCAGGGCCCTCCTTCCAGGACGGGGACCACATGTCCGGGTTTGCCCCCTCTGCCCCCACTGTCCCGCTTTGTGCCTGTTATCCCAGCATAAATATTCATAATGTCTCATTTCGGCTTGGACAATAATAAATTTGAAGGTCACCCTCTACAGGCCACGGCGGAGAGTCTGGATTTTGTTCCCAGGGCAGCTGGAAAGCATGGAGGGGTTTTAGCAGAGAGTGACACTCTAATTTCTAATATATAAAGTTCACCGTGGCCACTATGTGGCAACGGCCTGCAGGGGAGCTGGAGGGAAGCCGTTGTCCCCTTCCTGACCCCGCGGCAGAGTGTGGCAGGAGTGAGGCCTGGGAAAGGCAGGGGAGGCCTGGCTTGGGCCGGCTGAGGTTGCAGCCATGGGCAAAATGACTCAGGGCAAATGCGTCCCCAGAGATGATGCTCCCCTTCTCCTCCCTGTGCTGACCCGGCCCCAGGGCTTCCAGGAGGGGCCTTCAAGGGGTTGGACTAAGCCCCTGAGAACAGGACTGCAGGGAGGCTGCTGAAAGAAACAGGAAAGTTCTCAAAAGAACTAAAGGACTCAGTCAATGTCAGAAATAATGATGAACGATATTAACTTTCCCTTTGATAATTTGTTCCTATCCCCATCCTCATCCCACACAGCTCCCCCCCGCACCTCCGAGAGGAGATTTCAGAAGCCAGAGCCCAGCACATTCACAGATACCAGGTGAGGAGGATCTCCTAGCCATCTGAAACTGAACGAGTTCCTGGAGAAAGCAGGTGGCTTCTAGTCCTTGCTCCTGTACATGCTGCACCTGCATGAATGGAGGCCCACCCACTGTGCACTCACCTCTGGGAGCTGAAATTTATATTTGTGTGTGTGTGTGTGTGTGTGTGTGTGTGTGTGTGTGTGTTGGGGTGGGGTATTTAGAGGAACATATACACTGCTGACCACATACTATGGGGCAGACGCCTGCCCAGATGCCACAGATCTCCTATTAAACTTAGGGGTTCGCGAGTGTTAAAACAAGCCCGGGACTTGTTATGGCCATTCAGAGGGGATAAGAACAGAAGTCAGAAGCCTGCAAAATGAATCCTGCAAGCACGAGGGGCCTCTCATTTGTCGACCACAAAGTGCACCTGCCTAAGAGACCAGGGAGGTTACTAAGTCAACCTTCTGTGCCCAGATGGAGAGTCACCTTCTGCCTGGGAAGGCCATCCAAGTCTGGGTGCCGGGAAGGCACAGCCACAGACTCAAGGAGGAAAGGAAGGGGCTGGTGGGAGACGGGTCACTCACCAAGCGGCAGGACGAAGAAGAAGGGGAACCAGCAGAGCACGAAGACGCCCACGACGATGGCCAGCGTCTTGGCCGCCTTCTTCTCGCGGGAGAACTTGAGCAGGCGCAGGGACAGGGAGCTGCGGAAGGTGTGGCCCTTGGCACTGCGCACCCCATCGGCGGCGCCTGTGCTGGCTCCGCGACAGTGGATGCGCAGCACCACCTCCGAGGCCTTGCTGCGCTCCCGCTTGACGCCCGCCTCGAGGCTGCGCGTGGTGCTTCGCGCTACCACGTACACGCGGCAGTACATGACCACGATGACGGCCATCGGCAGGTAGAAGGAACACACCGAGGAAAAGACGGCGTAGCCTGCCTCCTCCGTGATGCCGCAGAAGCGCTCGTCAGGGGGCACCGGCTCCTTCCAGCCCAGCAGCGGACCCACGGACACCACGAGGGCTACGGCCCAGAGCAGTGCCAGGATGGCTGCCGCCTTGCGCTCGGTCATGATGGCGGGGTATTTGAGCGAGTGGCGCACGCCCACGTAGCGGTCCACCGAGATGGTGCAGAGGCTGAGGATGGAGGCCGTGCAGCACAGCACGTCCACAGCGGCCCACACGTCGCAGAAGGCCCGGCCGAAGGCCCAGAAGCCCAGAACCTCCATGGTGGCCGAAAAGGGCAGCACCGTGGCGCTCAGCAGCAGGTCGGCCACGGCCAGGTTCACAATAAAATAGTTGGTGACCGTCTGCAAGTGGCGGTTGCAGGCCACGGAGAGGATCACCAGCAGGTTGCCCGCCACCGCTGTGAGGATGAAGGCGGCCAGGAAGACGCCCACGCCCACGCCCTGCGCGCTCACCACCAGCCCCCCGACGGCCGCCGTGCCGTTCACCTCGCCGCCCGCGCCCGCGCCCCCCGGCTCCCCGGCGGAGCTCCGGTTGTCCTCGCCGCCGCCCGCGCCCACCACGCCGCCGCCGCCGCCGCCCGCGGCTCCCGGCACGCCGCCCACTGCCGGGCCCTCCGAGGCGGCCGCGCCGCCCGCTCCGCCCCCGCCGCCGCCCGCGCTAGAGCCCCCCGCGCTGCTGTCAGGGCGGGGTCCCTCGAAACTGACGCTCAGGAGGTCGCGGAAAGTCATCTCAACGCGCGGCCGTCGGGGGCCGGGCCCGGGCGCAGGACGGGCGACTGGCCAGGAGAGGGGCCCCGGGCATAGCCGCCGGGCTCCGGCTGCAGCGCGGCGCGCGGGTCCCGTCGGGGTCCTGCCGGAGTTCCTGTAGCGCGGGGCGCGGTGGTCCGCGAGAGGAGCGGGGCCGGCGGGGCGGCGGCCGGGGCTCCCGAGGCTGGCGGCGGAGTCGGGCCGGAGACCCGGGGCCGGCGACGCGCGCCGCTCTCTGAGTGTGCCCAGGCGAGCGGGCAGAGCGGCGGCTCAGCGGCCGGGCAGTGCAGGCAAAGCCACTGCGGCGCTCTCGACCGGGCGCGGGGGGCGGGACGGAGGAGGGGCAGCGCCGGGGAGGAGGAGGGGGCGGCCGGCGCCGAGGGAGGGGGCGCCCCACGCGCCCGGAGAAGGGGCAGCGCGAGCCGGGCGAGCGGCAATTCCGGGGTTCGGAGGGGTCGCGGCGCTGGCGCTCGCTCCGACCCCGCGGCAGCCACCCCTGCCCGACCGCGGGTGCCCACGACCGCCCTCTCTTCTCGCCGTCAGCTCCTCGCCCTTTCCCGCGCCGCTCCCGGGCCTCTTCCCCTTTGCCCCTCCGCCGCGTCCCCCTTCCTCCCGCCCTTTTCCCCAGCCTCTCGGTCACTCGTTGGTGCCCTTGGGCGCGCGGAGCGGAGACGGCGCGATTCCCGGGTCCCGGGGCTCCCGGGCTCCCGGCTCCGGCCGCCAGAGAGCAGCAAGCACCTGGGATCTGCGGACTGCGGACCGGAGCGCGCAATACGGCGGCCGTCGCCTCCTGGGACTGCCTGGAGGGATCTGCCGCACCTCCTCACTCCTCTCCCGCCACTGGGCAGGCGAGGGTCTCAAACACCTCTGTCCAGTGCGGTGCAGTGGGGAGAGCCCCGGGAGGGATCAGATGCCAGCGCTGGTCTGTGATGGAAAAGGAACAAGAGACTACTTGGTTATGGCTCTCGGACCCTGCCCACCACCCATGGGTTTGCGTATACCAACTTCTGCATTGTTGCTCGCCTCCATGTCAGATGTCGGAATAAACCTTCCTTGTTACACTGAATACGTGGCCTTCTGGGGAGGGAGAGTTTAAGTGCTGGAGGGTGGGAAAGGGCACTTGGCCCGATGGTTAAAGAGTGGGGGGTTGGCAGACTGGCCGGCTCCACATCTGGCTGTGTACCATATGAGCTCTTTGACTTCTTTGTGTCTCAGTTCTTCGTCTGTAAAAGGAGGGTAAGAGTAGTGTCTATTTAATGATGTGAACATTAAATTAGTTAGTATGTTGTTACCTCCCGGGAGCAGGGCCTGGGTTTGTTGGCTGCGTGGGACTTGGCAGGGCAGGATTGGGACAGGGAGGACAGAGGGCAGGCTGTGTGTGGAGGTGCTTTGAACTGGGACACAGGTGGAGGGTTGGATTTGAGGAGCCTCTTGCTAACTAGCAGGACTGGGTAGGGAGAGACAGAAAGACATAACATTACTAACGAGGGCGTCATGCTGGACAGGTTAGGTGGCAGGGGAAGGGAATTGCAGGGAAGATAATAGTACCCTATACGTGCAAGATGAGGAAGGATAGGGCTGTGGGGGGTGGGGGTGGGGGGCTGTGGGGGTGGGCGGGCTGGGGGGGGAGAGGTGAGGGTCCATTTGGAGAGGTGTCTAGGAAGAGGTGGAGAACTCAGGGCCTTGGTGCCCACTGGCTGTGGATGTCTGAGGGCAGGATGTTGGAGAGACTTAGATGAGAAGGTGCTTTGGAGAAAAAGCAGAAAATGGTGCAAATGTTGAGAGACGGGTGCCCCCCCCCCCCGCCCCGGAAGCTAAAGCTCTTAGAGTCCTAGCTTAGAAACAGTTCTTCCAAGGCCCTCAGTTTCCTGATTATGTCTTCCATCTTTTACTTGGGTCTTTGAAAATTTACTATAGAAGAGTAGGCATGAAGGTCAGGGGGGCCATGGTGACCCTGCTGGTCTTTAGGTTCTTTGTGATCCGGTGGCGAGGCCTGATTTAAGATGGATCCGTAGCACCTGTGTTTCTCTCCGCTCCTTTATGAGACCACTTTAGAGTGAGCATAACAAAAAAGGAGAAGTTCATCCCACAAGAGAGAGGTTAACCCCTAGGCTGATAAACCTGGACTTCAACTCCTGTGAGAGGTCATGAGCGGTTTGAGGAGATCTGGACCTCCGCCCCCCTTGTGAAGATGGTGCAGGTGGTTGTCACTTGCCGAGTCAGAACGCTGAATGGGACGGAATGCTGATGGAGAAGGCATTCCTGATGGGTATCCTGTTGTTGGGGACCAGCGGCCCCCAGTTCCCTCCCACCCCACCAACCTTTATTTGTTCATTCAACACAAATTAAACACCAGCTATACGCTGGCAACTGTTCTGGGCACTGGGGATAGGATGTTGAATAAAGCAAAGTCCCTCCTGGGGCTCACGTTCAAATGGCAGAAAGGGTCGCTAAGCGTTAGGAGGAGAGCTGTCCCATTGCTATGGACCGAAGTTTTCTCTGGCTTTGATGTCTGAGTCCTGGAGACTCTCTTCAATTAAGGCTTCAAAGAAAATCCAAATCCAGAGGAACTCTTTCCCGTTACTGCCCCACCTCTGAATAGCAATGGAATCTGAAAGAGTACAAAATCATGCATGTCATTGGAAGACACGGTTAAAGCTGCCACTTGCCAGATCAGTCCCCTATGAAGAACATGGACATCCATTCTATTCTTCAGCTGCAAATAGGTCTCTTGTCCTAGCCTGATCTTTAAGCTTACTATGGCTTGACCCTACCCCTGGCTACCACCAGACCCATAATCCCGACTGACCCACAACGTCAGCCTTCCTGATGCCCCTAATTGTGTCATTCAGTCCAGTTACATCCTGTGGTCAGGGCTCGGGGCTACCTTCTCTCATCCTCAAGACAGCAGAGTTTGGTGCTTAGGACTGGCACCTTTCGGTGGTCCTGGGTCAGGGAGTATGCGGGGAAAGGATGTTGTTTGTAGGAAGGAGATACTTGCAATTTATCCTCCTAGCCCCGACCCTCTGTCAATTGAAGCTGCAGGAGACTTGAGGCCAGTTATGATTTGATTATTTATGCTAATTTTTGCTTAAAATTAATGGAATTGGAGGTTAGTGATTATATCTCCCCATCACTGTGGAGATGGAAGAGGTTGGGGTTGGGAGCCAATAGAATGATATCCTACTCAGAGCCTGGCAAGCAGCCCACTGCTCTGTGGACCCTTGGAGTGGCTGTTTGCTTTGCAGCTGTGTTTGCTTCTGCTCCTAAGAGATATTCTTTTGTTTCTTTTTATGTTTTTTTAGGAGAGGAAATAAGCTGGGAAGCAGGATATTGGACAGAGTTGGAAGACACACTAGGGTGGAAAACTCCCCAAGTGGGGCAGAGATTGGTTGCGGTAGGTTAAGAGCTGTACTAAACAACCCCCAAATGTCAGTGGCTTAGCGCAATGAAACTTTAATTCTCATTTACTCAACATCCAGTGTGAATGTACCTGGTTGGCAGCTCTCACGGACAGATCTCCAAGAGGCAAGTCAGGGATCCAGGCTCCTTGCAATGAGTGGCTCCACTTTTTCCCAGAGCCTGGGAATTCTCCAGGATCCTGGAGACCTCTTCTAAATTGTCAACATCCAGCTGCCCAAAGAACAGAGGGGTGAGCGTGGAGGATTATGTGGACATTTTAGGAGCCATACCCGATACCTCTGTCTGAGCCCGTGCTCCCGCTTAGATGCAAGGGGGAGATGTGATTCAGCCAAGTGCCCAGGAAAAGAGAACGGATTTGATGACCAGCCAGCCTGTCTGTGTTGCAGGACAGCAAGAGTCCCAGGAAGACTTGATTTGGGCATTAGTGAGGCAATGCCTCATGGGTGGATTGTGACAAGAGCAGGTAGATTGGCTGCTGTGAACCCCACCCAGCTAAGGGAATCTCTCACCTTCCTTACCTAAAAGTCTAGTCCTATAATTTGGGTCTCCTCACTCCAAGAACCAGTATTTCTCATTACATCACATTTTCTTTGTACCTCCTAGTACAAGTGACATACAAGCCTATTACCTCCTCCGGCCCCTGAGATCAGATTACCCATTGTGGGTAATGCGAGGAGCGGGGAAGACGGTCCCTAGGTATATTCTGTGGGAATGAAAAGAAAGATGAGAAGTTCCAGGGATAAACTTAGCTAACCTGACAATTTCTCTGACCCTCAAACAGAGCGGCAAATGCTAATGAGGGAGATTTCCTAACACAGAATTAAAATAGGCCAGTCAACTCGGAGGAAGTGGCCTATAATCAACTTGAGAGGCCAGGCGGGGTTGCATGACTCCAATCCCAATTAGGGAGGCTAAGACAACTCCTGCTGGGATGTCAACCTTCCAGCTCACAAATAAGATGGCCCAGAGCCATTTTCCATTTCCTTTCTCCTGGGCCAAGATTCTCTGGAGAAGACAGTGAAGAAAGGAGGATTTCCCTTGATAATGATTCCCTGGAGGAATGGATGGTGGAGGAAACAACACCACCAACAACAAAATCCCAAGGATCCCAGGAAAAATATTAGGAAGTGAGACTGGCCTTCCCCACGTTTGTGTTCTCCGCGCCTTATCCCTCGGGCTCCTACCGATTCTCCCTTCCTCTCTCTTCTGTAGGTTAGTCACTGATTCTTGAATCCTCCACTTCCCCATTAAAGGTAAAATGGTGATAATAACTGTGCCACGTGCGGATTAAGTGTCTGCAAAAATCCCACTCACCTCCTCCTTTGGGTCCTCCATTGGCTTTGATTTCTTCCTCGGCAATGCTTTGTAATTTCGTTGTTGACCTGTAGTACCTGGAGATAGGGGCCTTCTTGGGATTTTCAGTGACTGTGACATATCTGTCTCTTCGTGCCCAGCAGCCGGTGCAGGCCTGGGAGTTTGTTCAGTTGGTGGATGAACGTGGGAATCAACAAATGAAGACAGGAAGGACTGCATACCACTGAGTGTCACTGAGGTTTCGA